AATTATTATAAGCGAAAGACATTAATTCAACGACATAAACATCCAAGTTGAATGGTTATTGCTAAAAATAGTCAACGGCATAAACATCCAACGGTTATACCGAAGACGTACATTCAACGACATAACCATCTATCTTGAATAGTTATGCCGGCATAAACATCCAATGGTTATGGCATAAACATCCAATGGCTATGCCGAAGGCATAAACATCCATTGGTTATGCCGAAGACACTTAAACGGCATAAACATCGAAGTTGAACGGTTATGCCAAAGAAAGTCAGCGGCATAAACATCCAAGTTGAATGGCTATGCCGATGACATTCAACGGCATAACCATCCAAATTGAATGGTTATGCCGAAAACAGTCAACGTCATAAACAGGCAATTGTTATGCCCAAGACATTCCACGGCGCAACGATCCTTGTTGAATGGTTATGTCGGCATAAACATCCAATGGTTATGGCATAAATAATCACCCAATGCCTATTCCGAAGGCATAAACATCCAATGGATATGAAGAAGATATCCAACGGCATAACCATCCAAGTTTATTGGCAATGCTAAAGATATTCAACGGCTAATAATATGCCTCAGGCCCCCAGCTAATAATACAGTATACCATGGGCCCCGCGAAACGTTAATCCAGGCCTGCATATATGAGCTCTTTTCTAGATGAACTAAAGTCCGATGGAATCGGGTGCAAATGGAAACAATTTCACACAAGGCAACAACGGCTTATTTAATTTCAAGGAATTCACCAGGCTTTAAATCGTCTACAGATAGTTTAAATGTGTACATTAGGGAATGCTGATTATATTCAGAGACATAACCACCAAAGTTGAATGGTTATGACGAAGATATTCAACGGTATAACCATCCAAGTTGAATGGTTATGCCGAAGACAGTCAACGGCATAAACATCCAAGTTGAATGATTATGCCGGAGACATTCAACGGCATAACCATCAAAGTTGAATGGTTATGCCGAAGACAGTCAGTGGCATAACCATCCAAGTTGGATGGTTGCCCCGGCATAACCATCCAATGGTTTTGACATAAATATCTTATTGTTATGCCAAATCATCAACATCCAATGGTTATGACGGAAGACATTCAACGGCATAACCATCCAAGTTGAATGTTTATGCCGATTACAATCAACAACATAACCATCCAAGTTGAATGGTTATGCCGGAGATATTCAACGACATGCGCATGACCATCCAAGTTTTATGGTTATTGCGAAGACAGTCAACGGCATATACATTCAAGTTGAATGGTTAAGCCGGCATAAGCATCCAATGGTTATGGCATAAATATAAAATGGTTATTCCGAAATTATAAACATCCAATGGTTATGCCGAAGACATTCAACGGCATAAACATCCAAGTTGAAAGGTTATGCCTGCATGCATAAACATCCAACGGTTATGGCATAAATATCCAATGGTTTTGCATGTCGAAAACATAAACATCTAATGGTTATGCTCAAGACATTCAACGGCACAACCATCCAAGTTGAATGGTTATGCCGAAGACATTCAACGGCATAACCATCTAAGTTGAATTATGCCGAATATATTCAACGGCATAAACATCTAAGTTTAATGTTTATGCCGACCATAAGTTGAATGGTTATGCCGTTGACTGTCTTCGGCATAACCACTCCGCTTGCACGGTTATGCCTTTCACTGCACATAAGTTGAATGGTTAAGCCGAATACAGTCAACGGCATAACCATCCAAGTCGAACGATTATGCCGTTGACTGTCTTCGGCATATATAACCATTCAACTTGGATTGTTATGCCGTTGACTGTCTTCGGCATGCGTAACTATTCAAACATACTCAACGGCATACTAAACATCTAAGTTGAACGTTTATGCCTAACATATTCAACGGCATAAACATTTAAGTGCAGTGTTTATCCCGTACATATTCAACGCCATGCATATGCATAAACATCTAAGTTGAATGTTCATTCCGAACATAAGGTGAATGGTTATGCCGTTGACTGTCTTCGGCATAACCATTCAACTTGAATGGTTATGCCGTTGACCGTCTTCGGCATGCGTAACCATTCAAACATATACTCAACGGCATAAACATCTAAGTTGAATGTTAATGCCGAACATATTCAACGGCATAGACATCTATAATTCAATTGAATGTTTACGCCGAACATAAGTTGAATGGTTATGCCGTTGACTGTCTTCGGCATAACCATTCGACTTGGATGGTTATGCCGTTGACTTTCTTCTGCATGCATGCATGCATAATTGCCCAAAGGCATAAACATCTAAGTTCAATGTTTATGCCGTACATATTCAACGGCATAAACATCTAAGTTCAATGTTTATGCCGTACATATTCAACGGCATAAACATCTAAGTTCATGAATGTTTATGCCGAACACAAGTTGGATGGTTATGCCGTTGACTGTCTTCGGCATGCATAACCAATCAAACATACTCAACGGCATAAACATCTAAGTTCAATGTTTGTTATATGTACATATTCAACGGCATAAACATCTAAGTTGAATGTTTATGCCGAACACAAGTTGAATGGTTATGCGTTGACTGTTTTCGGCATAACCATTCAACTTGGATGGTTATGCCGTTGACTGACTTCGGCATGCGTAACCATTCAAACATACTCAACGTCATAAACATCTAAGTTGAATGTTTTTGCCGAACATACTCAACGGCATAGACATCTATAAATTAAGTTGAATGTTTACGCCGAACATAAGTTGAATGGTTATGCCGTTGGCTGTCTTCGGCATAACCACTCCGCTTCGGCATAATCATGCCGGCATAAACATCCAATGGTTATGGCATAAATAATCATCCAATGGTTACACTGAAGGCATAAAAGTCCAATGGATATGACGAAGATATTTCAACGGCATAACTATCCAAGTTGAATGGTTATGCCGGAGACAGTCAACGGCATAACCATTCAACTTATGTTCGGCATAAACATTCAACTTAATTAGATGTTTATGCCGCTGAATATGTACGGCAGTTTATGCCGTTGAATATGTACGGCATAAACATTGATCATACATGTTTATGCCGTTGAATATGTTCGGCATAAACATTCAACTTAGATGGTTATGCCGTTGAGTATATGTTTGAATGGTCATCACGCATGCCGAAGACAGTCATGGTCACGATCCAAATTGAATGGTTATGCCGAAGACAGTCAACGGCATAACCATTCAACTTATGTTCGCCATAAACATTCAACTTAGATGTTTATGCCGTTGAATATGTTCGGCATAAACGTTCAACTTAGATGTTTATGCCGTTGAGTATGTTTGCATGGTTACGCATGCCGAAGACAATCAACATAACAATCCAAGTTGAATGATTATGCCGAAAACAGCCAACGGCATAACCATCTAAGTTGAATGGTTATGCCGAAGACAGTCAACGGCATAACCATTAGACTTGGATGGTTATGCCGTTGATTGTATTCGGCATAACCATTCAACGTATGTACAGTGAACGGCATGCATAACCGTCCAAGCGGAACGGTTATGCCGAAGACAGTCAACGGCATAATCATTCAACTTGGATGGTTATGCCGTTTACTGTCTTTGGCGTAACTATCCAAGTAGAATGGTTATGCCGAAGACAATCAACGGCGTAACCATTCGACTTGGATGGTTATGCCGTTGACGGCTGTACTCGGCAAAACCATTCAACATATATACAGTCAACGGTATAATCACCCAAGTGGAATGGTTATGCCGAAGACAGTCAACGGCATAACCATTCAAATTATATTATGCCGTTGAATAAGTTTGAATGGTTATGCATGCCGAACACAGTCAACGGCACAACCATCCAAGTTGAATTGCTATGCCGAAGACAGTCAACGGCATAACCATTCAACTTATGTTCGGCATAAACATTCAACTTAGTTGTTTAGGCCGTTGACTATATTCGGCATATACATTCAACTTAGATGGTTATGCCTTTGAATGTCTTCGGCATAACCATTGAACTTGGATGGTTGAGCCGTTGAATGTCTTTAGCATAACCATTGGATATTTATGCCATAACCAACTTGGGTGTTCATGCCTTCAACGGCATAACCATTCAACTTATCTTCGGCGTAAACATTCAACTTAATTAGATGTTTATGCCGTTGAATATGTTCGGCATAAACATTCAACTTAGATGTTTATGACGTTGAGTATGTTTGAATGGTTACGCATGCCGAAGACAGTCAACGGCATAACCATCCAAGTTGAATGGCTATGCCGAAGACAGTCAACGGCATAACCATTCAACTTGTGTTCGGCATAAACATTCAACTTAGATGTTTATGCCGTTGAATATGTTCGGCGTAAACGTTCAACTTAGATATTAATTTATGACGTTGAGTATGTTTGATTGGTTATGCATGCCGAAGACAGTCAATAGCATAACCATCCAAGTTGAATGGTTATGCCGAAGACAGTCAACGGCATAACCATCCAAGCTGAATGGTCATGGCGAAAACAGTCAACGACAAAACCATTCAACTTGTGTTCGGCATAAACATTCAACTTAGATGTTTATGCCGTTGAATATATATATTCGGCATAATTCAAGTTAGATGGTTATGCTGTTGAATCTCTTCGCCATAACCATTCAAGTTGGATGGTTGCCGTGCCGTTGAATGTCTTTAGCATAACCATTAGATGTCTATGATTTCGGCATAACCATTGGATATTTATGCCATAACCATTGGATGTTTATGCAGGCATAACCATTCAACTTGGATGTTTATGCCGTGGAAGGTCTTCGGCATAACCATTGGACTTTATAATTTCGGAATAACCATTGTATATTTATGCCATAACCATTGGATGCTTATGCCGGCATAACCATTCAACATCGGGATGTATATGCCATTAACTGTCTTCGCAATAACCATACAACTTGGATGGTTATGCAGTTGAATATCTCCGGCATAACCATTCAACTTGGATGGTTATGCTGTTGATTGTCATCGGCATAGACATTCAACTTGGATGTTTATGCCGTTGACTGTCGTCGGCATAACCATTCAACTTGGATGGTTATGCCGTTGAATGTCTTCGTCATAACCATTGGATATATGTTTATGATTTTGGCATAACAATAAGATATTTATGTCAAAACCATTGGATGTTTATGCCGGGACAACCATCCAACTTGGATGGTGATGCCGTTGACTGCCTTCGGCATAACCATTCAACTTTGATGGTTATGCCGTTGAATGTCTCCGGCATAACCATTCAACTTGGATGTTTATGCCGTTGACTGTCGTCGGCATAACCATTCAACTTGGATGGTTATGCCGTTGAATGTCTTCGTCATAACCATTGGATATGTGTTTATGATTTTGGCATAACAATAAGATATTTATGTCAAAACCATTGGATGTTTATGCCGGGACAACCATCCAACTTGGATGGTGATGCCGTTGACTGTCTTCGGCATGACCATTCAACTTTGATGGTTATACCGTTGAATGTCTCCGGCATAACCATTCAACTTGGATGTTTATGCCGTTGACTGTCGTCGGCATAACCATTCAACTTGGATGTTTATGCCGTTGAATGTCTTCGTCATAACCACTGGATGTTTATGATTTTGGCATAACAATACGATATTTATGTCAAAACCATTGGATGTTTATGCCGGGACAACCATCCAACTTGGATGGTGATGCCGTTGACTGTCTTCGGCATGACCATTCAACTTTGATGGTTATACCGTTGAATGTCTCCGGCATAACCATTCAACTTGGATGTTTATGCCGTTGACTGTCGTCGGCATAACCATTCAACTTGGATGTTTATGCCGTTGAATGTCTTCGTCATAACCACTGGATGTTTATGATTTTGGCATAACAATACGATATTTATGTCAAAACCATTGGATGTTTATGCCGGGACAACCATCCAACTTGGATGGTGATGCCGTTGACTGTCTTCGGCATGACCATTCAACTTTGATGGTTATACCGTTGAATGTCTCCGGCATAACCATTCAACTTGGATGTTTATGCCGTTGACTGTCGTCGGCATAACCATTCAACTTGGATGTTTATGCCGTTGAATGTCTTCGTCATAACCACTGGATGTTTATGATTTTGGCATAACAATACGATATTTATGTCAAAACCATTGGATGTTTATGCCGGGACAACCATCCAACTTGGATGGTGATGCCGTTGACTGTCTTCGGCATGACCATTCAACTTTGATGGTTATACCGTTGAATGTCTCCGGCATAACCATTCAACTTGGATGTTTATGCCGTTGACTGTCTTCGGCATAACCATTTAACTTGGATGGTTATGCCGTTGAAAATCTTCGTCATAACCATTGGATGTTTATGCCTTCGGCATAGCCATTGGATGTTTATGCCGGCATAACCATTAATTCAACATGGTTACGGATACATTGGACGTTATGCCGTGGAATGCCTTCGGCATATCCATTGGATGTTTATGACGTTAACTGTTTTCGGCATAACTATTCAACTTGGAAGTTTATGCCGTTGATGGTCTCCGGCATAACCATTCAACTTGGGTGGTTATGTCTTTGAATATATCAGCATTCCCTAAATTACGCCGTGGAATGTCTTGGACGTAACCATTGCACGTTTACGACGTTGACTGTTTTCGGCATAACCATTCAACTTGGATGTTTATGCCGTTGAAAGGTTTCGGCATAACCATTCAACTTGGGTGGTTATGCCGTTGACTGTCTTCGGCATAACCATTCAACTTGGATGGTTATGCCGTTGAATGTCATCGGCATAGCCATTCAACTTGGATGTTTATGCCGTTGACTGTCTTCGGCATAACCATTCAACTTCGATGTTTATGCCGTTAAATGTCTTCGGCATAACCAATGGATGTTTATACCTTCGCCATAACGATTGGATGTTTATGCCATAACCATTGGATGTCATCGCCTTACGGGAGTATCTAGTATCTACTGCAACGAAACCCAACAAACACTGATGAACCGTTATTTATAAGCTGCAGAACGGTGAACCACTCACCAGAACTATACTTAGGGCTAGTCTAAGAAAACTCTTGAATATTTTAGGCTATATAGAAAACGAATACGCTCCGCATAGTTTTAGAATCGGAGCAGCTACAACTGCTGCGGCAACGAACTTATCACCATGGTTAATTAAAACTCTAGGTCGATGGCGTTCAGACTGTTACGAACTGTACATTCGTACACCAGGAACAGTAATTAACTCAGTTTCTCAAAAACTAGCTTCAGTACTTAATCCTTAAATCTTACTATATATACTTATTATGCGATCAATATTAACATATCTATAACATCCTATATCCATACTTTGGTTTATTTTTCGGAAAAACTATCTCCCATGCATGCTAGCGCGGGGGATCTACACTACGGGCGCTTTCCATTAACACGGCCAGACCGGTCAGAACGGTCAAATTGTTGATTCGGGCTTCGGATCTATTACCGGCGAAAATAAATACCCTCTGGTTCCAGGGTACGGATCTATCTGACAAGAAAAATTTCGATAAAATTAGAACGAGGTCCGTTCTCGCTAGATATTTGAGAACATAGACCAGATCTTTCCATTGATATACAGAGTAAAAAAATTCGGGTTTGACCGGACAGGCCATTAAATGGAAAGCGCTCTACGTTTCGATCAGTGGCGGAAGGTGGTGTCCATTCGGCCACACTTTGCCCACGGTGAAGCACACACACACCAGCAAGGAGAGCAAGGTCCATAACGCAGGGGGTCCCTTACCCTCGACCTGACCTTAGCTCTCTCGGTTTCTCTCACTTCACCACGGGAAAGCCAGGCCTGGACATGGGATTCAATGTCCATAACGGTGAGGGCATGTACCCTCATCCTGACGTTGTTTCTCCAGCTGTTCGGGAAGCCTATACCTCCCAGAAACCGCATTTTTCCCGTCACCCAATTTAGGTCACAAAGGATTTGCGTGAATTATTAAATCACCATTATTTGCCTGATAAAATTGTTTAAGATCGTAATGCATTTACGTTATAAAAAACAAAAAATAAATAATTTCTATCTAATAATTGTTCAAACATTGGTGGTAAACTTTATAAATTATTCGTTTGTTTATTGTTATTGTATGGGAGGGAAAGTGTGCATGCATGTGGTTTGATCGAATGGTGAAACCAGTACATTGCTACAATCTTAGGTTTATATTATTTAATAGTATTAAGCGAAACACTTGGAAAAATGATAGGCACTCGAGCTCTGCATTTCAATGAATTAAATAAATGAGTTAATATGGATGAATTGCGTAGTGCTTGGGGTTTATATACTACTAAATTCTAAAGCGAAATTGTAAATTTCGACATGCTATACTGAGATAACGCTGTTTTCTGACCATCACAATTCTGTCAAATCTTCCCCAAATTAGCCTAGGTAATGGCATTTCAGCCAGACTCTAAATTTTAAAATTTCCTCTAATTTCATTGGGGGTGTCGAAGATTTTACCTGAAATTTGAACTTCAATGTTAAAAATTTACCTGAAATGTATAATTATAAAAGAGAATATTTTCGATTGATTTGAACTGTCATACTAAATTCCTGAATAAGAGGGGGTCTGGGGGTCCTCTGCCAGAAAATGTTTACATTTTTGAAGCTCCAGGACTGCGTTTCTGGCATGTTCTAAAGCAGATTCGCAAACGAATTGGATCTAAATTGACTGTATTTTACAAAAAAATATTATCATTTCACAAGAGTAACGACTTTTTACGCACATTTTACCTGAAATTAAAATCTCAAACTGGTTTTTAATTTAAAATTTACCTCATTTTTAGTTAGAGTGGTGTTACACCCACCTACACCACCCAGGTGGCTACGTCCCTGATTACATGAAGCAAACAGTACAACAAACACGCAGAGATAGGGCAACGCAATATCATTTGCAATAATGCAATTGGCGGTTCACCTCTCAACCCTCCATTCAGTAAGAGTACCAAAACCTTATGCCAGCCGACATTGCCAAGCTACTCAATCGCTAGCTTTTCTACTCTGTTTTCAAACCTTCTCTGTAATAACGATGATAATCTATTTTAAAAAACCTTTTTAATTCAAAATATAAAGGATAACAACGTTATTTTCTTAAGAGTATTGTATAATTCTATTGCATAATTTGAAATGAAGGAATTGCTCGATTTTTTAGTATCGTTCGTTCTTATCTGGCTGACAAAGAAATATTAGGGCGGCAACCCTATAGTTATCCCCCCATGGATAATTCCAGAAAAGATGCACGCTCCCCCTCGGAGGATATTTTCGGCCAGCAGGGTAGACCCGCGGAGGCGGAGGAGAGGCAACTTGTTTCTGATAATAGTATGTGGATAAACCGAAAGATGCAGGAGGTTAACTTCCTACATTTCCTGGAAAGACCCGTTGAATTACTGGAACTTGCGAACAGTGTTACCACTCGCCAGTAATTGTATCATTTCCTCGAAACTGCTCAACGAAATTGTGCAACGATTGTATACCTAATCTAAACAGAAAGAATACTTTCTCTTTCTTTCTCTTCAAAATGCAAAATTATAAAATTATGAGATATATGCTATTAATACCGCGATCCTAATTGGCCTTTCTCACCGCGAAGGCCAAAGTCCGTCATTTTTGGAGTACTATCTGCCCTCCTGAAAGATTCTAGACAATTCAAACAACGTGAAAAGCGACTTTTAAACGTTGTAACTTTAAATTTACCATTATACAAACAACTACAATATTCAAAAGTTGTATTTCGTGGTACCCCATGCAAAAATGGTGCATGCAATTGCATGCAATTTCAAATTTCAGGATAGGGTGTGCTGTGTCGAAATCCAATATGGCGGACAAAGGTTACATATTAAGCTGAAAGTTTACAAAGTTCTTTATAGGTTTACACAGTATGTATAAAGGAGTAAGTAAATGTTGGCTTACAAAATATAGTCCGTCAACCTTAAACTTCCAGGTAACATAATTAATACTACTGCAACCTAGATTCATACAGTACATTCTATCATAAACATTTAACATTGGGTACATTAGGCCAAGTAAAAAAATTCCCGGTTTCTCATCAGACGTTTTTTAAAATGCAAGTGCGGCGGGCGGTTTTTATTTTTTATATTAAACAACCAGTTATTTTTTAACAACAGAACTTAAATTGTTTAATAAAAACCATTATTCTACCATGTATATTTATTTAAAATATAGTATTTATAAAAAAAACATGAGGTTGGCGGCCATTTGCATAAAATATTGCACTGCTGACCACCCACCGCTAAATATTTCATGTAATTGTTATTTATAAAAAAAAAATACAAATGCGGCAGCTATTTCCTAATGCAGGCGCTGATGAGAAACCGGGAATTTTTTTTACTTGGCCTTTTAATAGAATACAAATATTTATAGAGAAGATACAATACCATTTTAATAGTAACTACATGTAGATGTAATGTACAATTTCCTTTATATGTTTTTACAACAGATGCTAAAAAGAAATGTATTTCGTCCAAGTCCAATGCATTCAAATCTAAATGGTCAACAGTTGCAAGATTCGCGTGGTAAGAATTTATAGAGGCGTGCAAATCCGATTTGTTCGGATTTCGGAACAAAAACATTCATTTCGGATTGAATCACATTGATAAAGTTGTTTCGTAGTCGTAATTAATTATCCAGAATCATGCACTTTGTCAGCTTCTTGACATGTATTTCCTGCTTTTATATTTATTTGGTTAAATATTTCCACTTAAATGAGAAATTTATTTTATTAAGGGATACTTCGGATTGGTTCAGAATTCTTTATCAAAACTCGGATCGGATTCGGATTAGACAATTTCGGATCGGATTTTAAACATTAGCCTACTATCTGATTGGATGTTTATAATCCAACTGTAGGCTAATGTTTAAAACCTGATCCGAAATTGTCTAATCCGAAACCTCTAGTAAGAATGGCCAATGTTTGCGGTTGCTTCTTTATAAATACGTATATATTGACTGAGAAAGCTAGAGAGGTCTGGACTGTAGGATATTAATATTAGTGGAGTTCTTTTATCATTTGTATACAAATTAATTTGGCCGCCCCAAAATATTATACATTAAATAACATATTTCTGATTTTTCAGTTTAGTTGGTTTATTTGTCTATTACTCGGGGCTGGGTGTTAGTTATAGTAAGGAATTTGGTGGTATATCCCAAATTAGATCCGAAAAAAAATATAAGACTGTTCAACTCCAAAACTTTGCTGAAGAAGAACTGGCCGGGAACCATGCAGATCTGTCTTGGAAGAATGCCATTATGGATCTAGCATAAAGTTTATTTTGTCTGTGTTTAGTACGCAAAATAATGTCAGTTGACCTGGCACTTACACTTCAAAGTTTAACGTTCAAAGGTTCAATTTAGCTCAGTCAATCAGCACCTTGTACTTGGACATGGTCGAGAATTCCAGACCACTTAAGAGAATAATATGCAAAATTCCATTCAGAATTAAGAAATATGTCTCTACAAACTTGCCAGCACTAGAGCTCTGCCCTTGACAACTAAAACCATCTGGCGTTAGACAGTGGGAGTAATAAAGTAGGGCCATTAGGCCAGTGCAATGTAATTGTTTTAATTAGGAGAAAAATTAAAATTGTTTTTTTACTCAGTTTTAAATGTGTTAGTATAGTGTATGGTAGTGTAGTTTTTAATGTTATTCATATTGTGCACCTGGAATTATTATAGCATGTAATATCCTACACACCCAGTGGCGTAGCCAGCCCGATAGTCCCACTATGCAAATTTCAACTCATTATCATTATTCATTTCTTCAGAAATTGATTGTGTTGATAGTTTATAAACATGGCAATATTTGCATAGCGGGACTGAATCATTGTGCTGGCTACACCACTGCACACACTTACAAGTAGAAATGCTCGTGGGCTGCCTGGTTTTAAAAAGCCCACGAGTAATTCCATGCCATTTCAACACAGGCATGACACCCACCCTCTCCAAATTTCTTTATATTTCGCAGGCAGTTAACATTGTGTGGGAATAGTTTAAGTTCAAAATTTGAGCATCGTAGCTGCAATAGTTTTTGAGATATCGCAATTTGAAATATGGCCCGAAAAGCAAAAAAGTGGGCGTGGCCAGTGCTAAATTTACCATTACCCTATTTTACATTTTGATCTGTAACTTCATACCCGTACATGGTATATCCATCAAAATTTGCAAAAAGATGTATTTGTATGCGGCGATTTCAAATATTGCACTTTGTATCTGCAACCAGTAATGTGTTATGGCACAGCAAAAAGTCTAATTATGTGTTTCTGAAGACACGAAATATACGTCATCTTTATTGGAAAAATTTTTATGGAAGCCATACAGACACAACAGTAATTTTTATTCCACATCATATCCACATGCTATTCTACTGTTAAGCAAAATTTGGTGATGGTTAGTTGCCTGCTTTAAAAAGTAGAGTCCTTTAAAGTTGTCATATTTTCTAAATAACTTTAATAGTACGTTTTGGGTGTTTGTTAAGAATAAAATACATTCATTGATAAATGAGACTGCCAAATACTTTAATGTTTGATTCTATCATTCTTTTTTGATAGTGCATTATGTTCTCCAAGAGTAAGTGTTATTTCTTGTATCAAATTGCCTTTGATCAAAATCGATGCAGTATATATAGAGAAGTGTGTAAGACTTCTTGGTCTTTAAGCTGCAGTTTGTACTGCCTCCCAGTGACTATTGTTCGGAACACCAATGTCAGAAACAATGTTCTCATCCGAAACCCAACAAGTATTAGTGATTGACCAATTATTATCAATTATTCATCCAATAATATACCCGATTCTGATTTTCTATGACGTCATAATCCATTTCGAGATTTTAATGATAATTTCCAACGTAACATGTTACTAGTAGCAACCAAAGTTTGTTAAACCTGTACATAAATGACACGCTTCACGTATCATTTCCTCTCGGCAACGGTTTGCTCCACACCTACTAAGCAACACGCTACCGTTCGCGCAAGAGATTAAACAGTTGTTGTTTTCACATAAAAAAGTGCATTCAACGTGTATCACCGCGCAATATATATGATTTTTAAAGTGAGTATTTTCTCAACAATCGGTTTTACACAATCGGAAAATACAAATTATTCTACCGATTCCGATTGTCTACCGATAAGCAAAAATCGGTCCAATTCCGATTATAATTTTTTATTTATTTTTTTATTAAAAACATCTTGTAACACGGTAGCTAATCAACTAAAAAAATATTAGCAAGGTTGTCGTTACTTTTCACTAGGCCGTGTACTTACAGACAGTATAAGAGATTCCCATGCACCCACCCTCCCCGAACCACCCGAATAATATTAGAAAGACATTCAAAGTTTATTATTCACTCCAACCCCACCCAGATAAAATTATATAAAATTTTTATTTCTTTCATTCCAAACTTTAGCGGCAGCATAACCGAAAGTTCGTTTCATTGAATTTGTTTTTAGCTTCAACAACAACAACTTATTTTTGTTATTTTTTAATTCATATCGATCTGAATTATATAGTTTAAACATGTCCAAAATGTTTTCGTGAAAATGGCATGTAAGTGGTTTTGATACATATTTTAGTTGTTGCTCCATCATTCTTTCACCTAACGTTTTCCAATCTAGTTTCTTTAAAATATCTATGGAGCGTATTTCATATGAGTCACCTGTAATAACTTTTGCAGCTCAGTTTTGGAGTTTCTGAAGATTGCCTCTTAAAGTGTCTATGCAACGAATTTTTCGCCTCATTTTTTATTGTTTTTCTAAAAAGTACTGCTGGAGTCATGAAGAATGCCGTTTACAGTTTCGTCATATTTCAACTCATTCTCAAGTTATCACACTTTCTATATTTTGAGTTGTGACGTCACAAGTATGAGTTGAGATAATGGCAATAACAAGAAAGTATGATATCTTGGTGAGTATTTAATAAAATTCAATGAAACTTGGTACACTTAGTGGGTGCACTCATATGAATATTTTTGGTAGGTCATGTGGTTGTCATGGCAACACACTAGTCCCCAGTCTCTTCGCTTCTTTTCAGAACGTTCCTCCCGTAGACCTCTTGCAGAGGATGTTTACATATTATAACTGTATAAACTGATAACAATACCTACACGTATTATAGTAATAAGCGAAAATTGTAGAAATTGCTATTTATTTCGTTGAAAATGCATAATATAGAAATTGGAAGAGAAGGGACTGGAGACGAGTGTGTCGCCATAACAACCATACAAACAAGCCAAATTGTTGACTTTGTTGCACCCACTAAGTGTACCAAGTTTCATTAAATTTTATTAAATACTCACCAAGATATCATATTTGTTGTTATTGCCATTATCTCAACTCATACTTGTGACGTCACAACTCAAAATATAGAAAGTGCGATAACTTGAGAATGAGATGAGATATGACGAAACTGTAAACGTTATTCTTCATCA